TATATATATATATATATATATATTGGCAACATGATTGTTTCTATGATGAATCTAACTCATTAAAGCAAAAGGACTAACATTGTTATTGAATACATGAACAAATTAGGAGAATCATCATTTTTTTTTTTTGGAAAGAAGAGAATCATTGTGGCTTGCTAGATTATTAAAGTCGATAAAGCTTACTTTCTAGGGCATGAATGCTCAATCATTTATTGTTTGATTAAGGAGTTTATTGATTTGAAAATAAAATATTTTCTCTTCACGATTTTTGCTTAAAATTGTATTTAACTATAAGGCCTTCACAATCATTTATCCTCGCATGAATTCTTGGGCATCAATGCTTTTGAAAGTCATGTTTCATAAAAATTAGCCCTCTTCCAATCTCTCCTATTTTCTTCGTAATATATTAGTTTTTAGAGGTGGCAATCACCCAAACGTTACATATAACATTGTAACCACAAAAAACTTAAATATAATATTTTGACCACCTTTTCATTACAAGAGTACTTTTAAACCCACTCATAAAGTTTTTCAGTGAAGGTTTTGGATGGTTAAAATGTTATAATTAAGTTTTGGGTAGTTAAAATGTTATGTGCAATGTTTTGGATGGTTGATATGTAAAAACCCTAGTTTTAACCAACTTTCACTAGCTATTGAACTATGTCCAAAGCTATCAGAGTTTCCCAAATTCACACCCATCTTCCCCCCTAAACAAACTAAACAGTGCCAAAAATCTAGTTTGCTGAAATCATCCGGTTAGCAAATTTAAGAAGTCGTGTAAATAAAATTAAAATTAATAATCACAAATACCTTCTAAACGTCCAAGTTCTTCTAGAGATTTTGATTTAAGAAACACTGCCTCCAAAAGTAGACTGACTGAATGCCATGACATTAGATTTGTGGGCGAAATTTCCACTTTAGAACGAACTTTTCTTAATCTAGTTCTTTCCACAATAGCCTTAACCATTCTTGGCCGCAAAGCTGGTACATCAATCCCTTGAAACACTTGCAGGGCTGCGTCAAAGTTTCCCTTCTGATATTCCAAACGACCTAACAAAGCCCTTGCTTCCTGTCATGCAAAGAAAATGAAACCAAATAAGTCAAGGCCAGACCACACATATCAATCTCCAAACCAAGAAAATGAAACAACCTCGTAATTTAACGAAAGACCCTCTCTCAAAGCTGATTCTACATCATCAATCTGTTGACCAATGTCAACCTTTGCTTCCCAATCTCCATTCCTTGAAGAAAGGCCGTCGGCAGAGAAATCCCTGGTGGCTAGAGACTCTGGCGATTGAGGAACCTCATCAAAATGGATGCGTTCACGCTCTCCAGAGCAAGCACACAGCATGGTGGATGCTTTTGGTGATGAAGATTAACCAAAGCCTGTTCAACTTATTTCCCGTTAAAGTGTGAAGGCCTTTCCACTCTCGCAGGCCATTACAAAGAAATCAAGATGGAATACTTGGGATCAGCAGAATTCTCAAACTACGGAACCAACTGCTTTCGCACCGGGGGAACAAGATCCGGAGCAACGACCCTAACAGTTTGGAAGATATCTCGAGAAAAGGTTTGAGCACCGGTGTCTCATATATGTACTCCAGTTTATTCGAAGTATCCCAATGGTGTCAGACTGTCGACTTATTGGGAAAAAGGCTACGAAGAACTTTGATCTCTTGTTTCGGAGAAATCAGTGGCTCACGAGTAATTGAAAGGAACATTCTCTATTTGATCTCGAAGTCGAAAGATCTCCGATATGCTCACATTCCAGTTGTTGAAGGCACGTTGTTAGTTTTGCTGATCTTCCTAAACTTCAGATAGTCCAAACTGCAATGATGCATTTCCTTCATCACAGTTCTCCCTTCACTGCATCCTTTCTCCTACAGTAGCAGAACGGCAATTCTTTTAAGTCTTTTCTTCCCCAAAAAAAAAAAAAACACCATTAAATATCGTGATCTAATGCTTTACAACTTCTAGCGTTCTGCTAATGGTAGAAGATTTTAGAAAAACCTAATCAGGAAAGGAATCAGAGAACAGAAACAACTATTCCAAAGGACCACCACAACTCAAAAAAAAAAGCGGCAGCAAGAAAAGAAACACCGAAGCAAATTGATCTTCGAATACGCCCCTCGTACCGAAACAATTTGAATTTTGAATTTCAGATAAAAACTTATAGCACTAAAAGGACAAACCCATTCAATAAAACTCGTGAGCACGTAAATGGCAGCCAAGAAATAACCATCAAACTTCTTCCAAACCGGGCATGCAAGAATTTAACCAAAGAGCACCTTACAATCGGAAATCCAGCAAAGAAAATCCGAGTCCCCATTGTAGTAATATTTCCAATACAGAGAAAAAAAAACCAAAACCCCATAAAAGTATCAAAAACCCAAGCCCTGAAAATCCCCAAATACAAAACGACACAGGATAACTATTGACATCAAAGATCAACCACTAAATAACAGCAAACCAAAGACCCAAAAGCTAACCGCAGCTACCACTTTTTACCCCTTCAGTCTCTCTCCATCAAAACCCCCAAAAGCTTCGATCGACATTTCTCATTCGAGACATGACCTTTCGATCCACTCTGCGAGATTTGCGGCAGCAAAGGTTTGACGATTCGACGCATAGGCGCGCGAGCACAAACTATCACACGAGATTTCGAATTCAAAAAGAAGATCAGAGAAGGAAGAAATCAAGAAATCCTCCGCGGACAAAAAAGCGGAGGTGGGGATCGACGAGCTTTTGCCAGCTCAAAGCGGCCATATTTTACGTGATTCTAATTTCGAAGCGGTCATTAGTGACTTAATTAAGATTAATTATAAAGCTTCTGTTCTATTATTTTAATTGACTGACTGAGATCAGCTGACATATTAGTTCTCAGTTTCAAGATTAAACAGCACTCCTAGCACAGTTTCGTGTCATTTGACACCTCATTATAATGTATTGACCAGCGTTAAAAATGATAGAGTCCACTTGACATGCGACAACTTATTATTAGACTCCGAATACATTTAAGTCACGATGTAATATTTTTGCTTTTAATTTGAATATTTTACAAAGCTCATTAACTCATACTACAAAAATTATGAAAAATGTATTATGACATACCACTTAATTTTTATATATTTACATATCTAATAATTATACACTGAATAGGGGTGACATGCGTAACAACTGAAGTTCGGGGTTAGATATGTAAATATATAAGAACTGCGTGTGAATCTTCTTTACTTTGTTTTGAGTTTAAAGTGCACGAACAGTGCACGTGAATGCACTGGGACAAGCCAATTAATATGCCACGTATTTTTCGGATGTATCAAGTTATAAATATAAATTTTATGAAGTACATTTTTAAAGGAATTAGTTATTGGTCCAAACTCTTTTGAAAAATTGCAGAAATAAGCCATAAATTAGCTAATAAAATCTCAGAAAGTTAGTTAAATATAAAAATGCCGACTCCCCCCGTCATCTCCCCCCCCCCCCCCACCCAAAAAAAAAAGTTTTCTTTTATACTTACAATTTTATTTATAATAAATAGAAGCTACATTATGAAATGTTTGTCGTGCCCTTAAGGTCACCGTAATCATCAAGACTGATGTTAATTTTTTGCAGAATCCTTCTTTATTAGAGTGTTGTTCCACTTGCTTTTATGCTGATGAGTTTTCATTTGTTTATTCGGTCGACCTACTAAGCTTAGTTAGCCCGATAATTTTCTCTGTGCCAACTAGGATTCTTTGTGCTCACTGTGATTGATTGTTTGGCATGTGTTCCATTCAGAATTGTCAAATCAGATCCAACATATTTTGAGCATATATTTGGGTATAATGAATTATATTTATTTTTTCTTTTTGTGAGTCGTTACATGCTAAATCACGTGGGTTTTGTTTTTTATTAATATATTTTTATTTCATAACGAAATTTATGGTTTTGTTAATGAAGATAAAGGCCAATAATACAATCTCTAGATGTGCCTTGCACTATTTCCATGTAAAAATTGAAGTTTGAATGTGACATAATTACATATGTAAGAATTGGGTACTATGTATGTAAATTCCCCTTTTATTTCATGTTATGCTATTAGGTATCTTGAAAATGTTGATGTAGGTTTGCATGCTGATATATTTTAAGATTTCTAGTTTAGACTAGCATAGAATATTTAGGGTCCATTTGGGGCAACTTATAAGTGCGGGCGACGTTTTCAAACCGCCGCCTCACTGTTTGGTACCCACTTATCGCCAGATTATTGAAAATTGTGTTTCCGAAATTGGAAAAGACGCGGGCGTTTTCCAATTGTGATCTA